TTTTGAAATGTTCAATAAGCCCTTTCTCTCTTTCAGACGGACCTTCCTTATTTCACCTGGCAGGAGGTGCAGGGAAGGATTATTGAGATACAGAAGGAGCACCAGATTTGCATCCACAAAAAAGAACTGACAGAGCTGGACATCTACCACCGCATACTGCGTTTTAAAAACTACATGGTCGCAATGGTCAATAAGTCACTCCTACCTGTGCGTTTTCATTTACCTCTGCTGGGCGACACTGTTTTTTACACTCGTGGTCTCAAGTATAACTTTGAGTTGATTTTCTTCTGGGGCCCTGGATCTCTTTTTGAAAACGAGTGGAGTCTGAAGCCGGAGTACAAACGTGGAGGGAACCGTTTGGAGCTAGCGGATCGTCTGAGCTCAAGGATCCTGTGGATTGGAATTGCCAACCTTCTCTTGTGTCCAGTTATCCTGATTTGGCAGATTCTGTATGCGTTCTTCAGCTACACTGAGGTGATCAAGCGGGAGCCGGGAAGTCTGGGTGCTCGATGTTGGTCCCTGTATGGCCGTTTTTACCTCCGACACTTTAATGAACTAGACCATGAGCTGATGTCACGCCTCAGCAAGGGCTACAAGGCCTCCTCGAAGTACATGAACTGCTTCATGTCACCATTACTGACGGTGGTGGCTAAGAACGTGGCGTTCTTTGCTGGCTCCATACTAGCAGTTTTGATTGCTTTGACCATTTATGATGAAGATGTATTGGCTGTCGAACACGTGCTCAGCAGTATTACATTACTTGGGATCTGCGTCACAGTCTGCAGGTGTGGCCAAGATAAAACTGATCACTAGAACTGAGCCTTTGGATATTTGTTGTCCATTTTATTTACTGGTGAGATTTGACTTTGAACTATTTTGTGATCATTCTTTCATCCTTGCTTGCCCTAGGTCTTTTATCCCAGACAAGCATATGGTGTTCTGCCCAGAACAGCTGCTTAAAGTGATCTTGGCACACATCCATTACATGCCTGATCATTGGCAGGGTAATGCCCACCGTTATGAGACCAGAGACGAGTTC